GCTCTGCAATTTACCTGGCTGCTTCTTGCTCTGACTGAGGGCTGCTGGGAGCAGGGGGTGGGGCTTGTTGCATGTGCCCGCCCCCTGGGCTCTTTACTGCCAGAGCTCCGCTCCTGTGCGCTCCTGCAGGAAATGACCCCTGGCACCCCGTGATATGGGATGAATGGTTGGGGGTCAGTGTCATGTGGTCTCAAAACACAAAAATCTGTGAGCCGGAGGCTGAAAGACTCAGCTAGCTCACACTCACTCAGCTTAGAGGGAGCACTGCAAGAGACCAATTAGTAACACCTGCAACCAGTGTTCCCTCTAAGCTGAGTTAGTGTAAACTAGCTCACTTCTTTAGCCTACAGCTCACACATTTTTGTCTTAGCTCAGGAAGGAGAGCTCCAGAGCAAACTAATTTATGCAGCAGCCAAATCGCCCGCTCACAACTTTAATGCCAATAGCTCACAAGGTAGAACTTTTGCTCACAAGACCCCACAGGTTAGAGGGAGTTTTGCCTGCCCCTTACTATTCACATGAACCCTTTGTGCTTGGCCTCACACTAGCTTTATTTTCTGGCGAGTTATGCCTGACACAGATGGATGGCCAGATGCATCCTTCAGTCCTAATGGATGAGCTTTCCTGAATCAGAACAGGAGGCCAGCAGGTGGAAAGCCCTTGACCCCCTCAGCTTGCTTGGTGCGCTGGCTTTCTAGCTGCAGGGAGTCGTTCATCAGGACTGCATTCCAAGCAGCAGCCAGCCTCCTATGGTCCGGAGCGCTACGGCTACAAGAAGTATTAATTAAAATATTCATATCTTGCTTAGGTTGCCAGCTCTCGGTGGGGAAACACCTGGAGATTTTGGAGCCTGGAAAGTGCAGAGTTTGGGGAGGGGTCTCAGCAGGGTACAGTGCCACAGAGTTCACCCTCCAAAGGACCCATTTTCTCCAGGGGTACTGATCCCTGTCATATACAGATCAGTTATAATTCTGGGAAAGTCTCCAGGAGCCACATGGAGGGTGGCAACCTAATTATTTATTAAAATTCTCTCCCCCCCACCCGAACCCCGAACTGAGAGACGTGCAGCCAACATTTCCATTAGAGCACCAAAACAGACGCCACCTATTAAATACTGGGTTCAAGACGCAGTGCAGTGAACAGCTCTACTTTATTGAGTGATTTCAGACACAAGGCCCAAGGCCACACCCCTGTTTCCCCCCCATAATATTTTTATTGTTTTTATAAGTATAAACAAACATATATATTTCATATTTCAATATGATTCGAGTCTATCCTTTTTCTTTGTCTTTCATCCATATATACACCCTCAACCATCTTTTCCGATGAACTCTGTCATCTTTGCCTTGTATTAATACATTTACTTTATCCATTTCTGCTAAATTTAACAGCCTGTTAGTCAATTCTTCCTCACTCGGAATTTTGTCTGATTTCCAGTATTTAGCCCATAAAATTCTAGCAGATGTTATTATCATTAAATACATATCACATTGTCTAATATTTTCTGGGATCATATTCAACGAATAACATTCAGGTTCTAGTTTCAAGTTCACATCTGTAATTTCTAAAATTATCCTCTGTACCTTATGCCAATACTTTTGGATTTTTTGTACAATTCCACCACATATGGTAAAACGTACCAACCACTCTTTTACATTTCCAGCATTTATTTGTAGAATTCTGGCGACCAAGGCCATCTAAAGAACATTTTATATATATTCTCTTTATATGCTGTGGCGGCCACACCCCAGTTTAAAAAGCACGCAACACCCCCCCCACACACACTCACACCGGCTATTTACATAACAGAAGTTCCTCCTTGGTCCCTTCCAGAGTCCTGGTGGGCGACTGTTCACCAGCGCCAAAGTTCAGTCCGCCTCTGAGACAGACCCGGGAGGCTCCAGCTCCAACGCAAAACATCACCCAAGCGCCTCCACACAGGCAGAGTCCCGGCGCCGCACGTGGGAACAAGGACTTCCGTGTCTCTTCCCCGCCCCGCCCTCTTGGCCGACGCGGCATTTCCTCCGGCCGAGTCGTCTCGGGCGTCGCACGCGATTGGGCGTAGAGGCCAGCCAATCGGAGCGAGGAGCGGCGCCAGGCGCGCTTCGCAGACGACCAATGAGGCGGCCGCGGTGGCGAGGAGGGGGCGGGGCGCGGCGCGCGGGACTGTTTGGCGCTGAGGCGCGGAGCCGGAGAGGCAGAGGCGGCGGCGATGGGGGGAACGCGGGAGCGGGAGATCCGCCGTGAGTGGCCGATCGGGGTCCGCGGGGAAGGCGGCGTCGGCGGCGTCCTTGGGGTCCTCCGTCTCGGTGGTGACTCCTAAGAGATCCTGACTCGCCTCACGGGCCCGGTGGGGAGGGGCGCATGCGCGGGGATCGGGCCCCTTTGGCCCCGCCCACCGAGAGGGGGAGGGGAGGTGGTGCCCCCCGCTGGAGGGTAGACTGCCCCTGCCCACGGAGGCTCCATCTACCCCTTGGGAGACTTCGAGTTGGCCTGCCGCGTCGAGCCCAGCCGGGTCGGAGTTCGGGTTGCCAGCCTCCCGGTGGAGCCTGGGGATCTCCCAGAATTCCAGCGGGTCTCCCTTCCCCTGGAGAAGACGGTTGCTCTGGGGAGGGCGGACTCTATGGCAATTAGGAGCCGCCACCATGCCCACCAACTATACTACTTGAACATCTGTAGTACAGGGCTGGCCCTAACGTGGAGTTAGGCCTATATACCTATTTAGGAGATCG